TTCCGCTCTCTATTCTAGTTCCTTCCAGGTGAAGAAAGGTAGACTGGAAGACTGATGTGCACATCATAAGAATTGTGTTTTGTTTTGTTTTTTTGAAGAACAATCCATATCCATTCATGTGTGTGTCTACAGAAATATCACAACTGATACAACACTTTCTTTGCAATCTTTCTGAGTGTACTTTGCCAGACTAGTGGCTGTGATTAAGATTGGCGAAGGGCACTTATTCTCGCTCTCTTCCTTTGTTGACAGGCAGATGATGATGAGTCAATTTCGGGTGTGCTGGCACTCTTAAAAGCATCTATGAGGTTGTCATTAGCATCATCCCTTTCAAACATCACCAGAACAGTACAACGTGCAATTTTTTTTTTTGACTGAAATCACATAGGAAACAAAAGTAATTGCACAGAGGCTATATTTGGAAGGGAGTTTGAGGCTTTTATCCAGTAGATTATGACTGCAGCATATTAAGTTGACAAAAGTCTGTCTGATGAAGAGGAACTAAGCTAATAATGCTGTCTCTTCAAAGCACCTTTTGAAAATAACATGTCTGAGACCATAAAATTATAGATCTGAGGGGAAAAAAACTCTCAGAGCTAATCTTTATTATTCAAAGTTATAGAAGATTTTTTATAATTATAGGAGCCATGATACCGTTGGAGCGGTGGCTCTGGACTCTTTGGGTAATGTGGCTTGTGCTACATCCACTGGAGGAATCAGAAACAAAATGGTGGGAAGAGTCGGAGATTCTCCTATTATAGGTGAGTCGGATCAGAGATAGAGGACAGAGATAATCTCAGTGTCACACCAATATTAATTTTGAAGCAGTGCCTCGGTTGAATGAGCCATTTCGGTTTGAAGGTGTCAGCTCTGATCAATACTCAATTGTCAGAGTGTTTTCTCCCGAGGTAACACACATTAACGTCTGACTCTGTCTGTGCTGCTGTCTTTTCCTGTGCGATAAGGATCTGGTGGATATGCAGACAATAGAAGTGGAGCGGTCTCCTGTACTGGTCACGGAGAGTCTATTCTCAAAGTCACCTTAGCCAGATTAATCCTCTTTCATATGGAGCAAGGTATGAGACTTTTACACTAATCCTGATGAGTGTGTGAGTGTGCATGCATGCTCATTTACATTAAAGGGGTACAAAAGTGTCCATATTTGATTAATTTTGTGCCTAATCCATTTTTAATGGATTTATTTTATTTATTTTTAAAAAATAAAATATTTAGTATCTTTCAAAAGTTTGGTATCAATAAGATAATAAACCAAATTAATATTTTAACACAGCAAGGATGCATTACATTGAATAAAAGTGACAGTAAAGACATTTACAGTTAGAAAAAGATTTTTTTAACTGTCTATTCATATGAATCCTAAATGTGTCATTGTTTACATAAAAAATATTAAGCAGCACAACTGTGTTCAGCATTGATAATAATAAGAAATGTTTCTTGAGCAGCAAATCAGCATATTAGAATGATTTCTGAAAGATCCTGTGACACTGAAGACTGGAGTAATGATGCTGAAATATCAGCTTTGCCATTACAGCAACAAATTACATTTTAAAATATATTAGAATAGAAAACAGTTATTTTAAATTGAAATAATATTTCACAATAATATACATTAACGCTCTTGTTGATTAAATAATTGCAGCCCTGGTGAGCATACGAGACTTCTTTCAAAAAAATTCATTTGGTTATTTGATGCATAGCATGTCTGTTTTCTATAGATTTTTAGGTTAACATTTATATTAAAGGGGTCATATGATGCGATTTCAAGTTTTCCTTTCTCTTTGGAGTGTTACAAGCTGATTGTGCATAGATAAGATCCCTGAAGTTGCAAAGACTAAAGTCTCAAATCCAAAGAGATATTCTTTATCAAAATTAAGACTCTGCCACGCCCCCCTAAAACGGCTCGTTCTAACACGCCCCCACATATCTACCTCACTATGTGGAAATATTTGCATAATGCCGCCCAAATGTGCATGCAAAGAAAGAAGGCGTGGTTTCAGTAACCGCAGTTAGTGTTGAAGCAGCCATGTCAGGGAGACGCTGTGTTTCTAGGCGAAAGCAAAAGCACTTTATTTGGCCTTCCGAAAGTAGATGCATTTAGGAATCTTTAAGATTATTTACAACAGAACAGCAATGCATTTTATGGACGACCGTTTCGTGAACCTAGGAGAGGAGGTAATTCTGACTTTGCTATGACAATCTGGCGCTTCTGAATCAGCTACTGTTTTGTTATTAGTTTAAGTATTTGCTATTGACTGTTCAAATGCAGAGTTTTGCGCATCGTGTGTGTGTGTGCGCGAGCGAGCGAGAGAGAGAGAGAGAGAGAGAAAGAGAGAGAGAGCGAGAGAGAGCCCGAGAGAGAGCGAGAGAGAGAGAGAGAGAAAGAGAGAGAGCGCAAGAGAGAGCGAGAGAGCGCG